GCATACTTTCAGCCAGGGTTGATAAAAATCAATGATAAAATGCTTTTTGAGAAAAAAAAAACCTATCTAAAGATAGTTTTCACTAAGATAATATAGCTGAAATTTCAAAATACTTCCATAACAACCACTTTGCAGCAGCTGCTCTGAAAAAAGTGGGAGGAACCAAGCTAACTCTCCCACAAGACGTGCGATCAACTCACATCTGTTTTGAGCACTATAGCAAGAACTGGCCTAATCTGATGACAGTTTGTGAACAAAATCGTGAAAAAATAGATGGCACTATCACAGCCAAATTTCTCAACATTGGGCTTAAGACAAATGTTGAACGCATGCCGAGTAGCCTGAAGCCGATTTCTATAGCCTTGAACAAAATGCAGGGAAATAGCTGTTTTATTGCTGATGCTGTTGAAATTTGGAATGAAATGAGTGAGATCTTAAAAAGAGAAATATGTAATGAGAGTTAAATTACAAGCATTAAAAATAACGAATGGGATAAGCACCATCTCCAGCTCATATTCTGGCAAGTATTCTCAATACTCAGGATCAGGGTCAAACCTTAACTGTTGGAGAAGAGGAGTTGGCTATGACATGGATATCCAGCAATCATCCCTCCATAATGCCAACTATAATAAACTTCAGAGTTAAGAGTGAACCATTCAAGAAATATACATTTGCTGATGATGTTTTAAAGAAAGTCACACCAGTGAACTGGCGAAAGTCACTTAAGCACTTGGATTCAGAGACCGTTGAAGTGATAATCTCACTTTTAACAGCAGTAGCTTCTTCTGCCAGTATAGAAAGAATATTTTCTTCCTTTGGACTAATTCATTCCAAATTGAGAAATCGTTTGGGACCTGAAAAAGCAGGAAAGCTTGTTTTTCTTTTCCAGATTATGAACAAACAGGAAAATGAAGGTGAAGACGGCTGAGTTAGTTGCAGAAGCCAATATTTTACGTTTCTCATGTTGACCTGGCTGACACAGTCGATTTAATTTTTGTGGGTTTTTTTTTTTAATATTTCATTTAATTATTTTAGTTTTTAGATTTTAAAAAACTTCAATGTTTAACTAAATTCAAAAATTCATATGCTTGTTTTGTGAAAATATTGTATGTTTGCTGTTGAAGAAAAAAATCGAGAATACATAACGTTGTTGTTTTAGTTAAATAAAACTATTTAAATGTCTGTCTGGTGATGTTCTCCTCCTAATACAGCATGTCAAGAAAATCCTCCAAATATTAATGATAAACCTGTTGAACTGGAGATAGTTCACCTCCCAATGACTTCATAAAAATCTGCTTCAATTACCTTTGGTAAATGAAATAACCAAACAAACATTCATTTTCTGATATAGCTGTAAAACTAATCTGAAAACTTTTCAAAATAAATCACTTTAAAAATGTATAGTGTGTACCTTCTAAAAATGAAGCCTACATCTCTCTCTGAGTTGTGAAGAATAAGTATTAAGGTTATGGAGTACTTGTGGCACCTTAGAGACTAACCAATTTATTTGAGCATAAGCTTTCGTGAGCTACAGCTGAAGTGAGCTGTAGCTCACGAAAGCTTATGCTCAAATAAATTGGTTAGTCTCTAAGATGCCACAAGTACTCCCTTTCTTTTTGCGAATACAGACTAACACGGCTGTTACTCTGAAACCTGTCATTATTAAGGTTATAACAACCAACAAGAATGCACTTTTATGTAGAAATTCATGATTAAATTCCTGACTAGTGATTTAAATCATGATTTAAATCAAATCCACCCTGCTTTTAAACTACTTTATAGTGCAGAATGCTGGGGAATGAGAAAGTATGACATGTCCAAACTGTCTTCATTCCATACAACCTGCCTCAGAAAAATCCTCCGTATCTTTTCACACCGAACAATCTCAAACCAAGATCTATTGACACAGTGCAGCCAAGAGGATCTGAGCACCATCATTGCCAGGAGGCGTTGGGTCGGTCATGTGCTTCTGATGGAAACTGATTACATCACCAGAGTAGCAATAAGATGGACACCTAAAGGCAAGCTAAAATGAGGCCACCCGAAAACAACATGGCAAAGAGCTGTGGAAGCCAAGCTGAAAAACCTAGGGCGCAGCTGGGGAACCATTGAAAGACTTGTCAGAAAGAGACAGGAGTGGAGGAGCTTTATCACTGCCCTAAACACCAAAGGTGTAATAGGAGCATGATGATGATGACAACACCTAGCAAACTGCAGACTTCCATCTTGATTGGTTCCTCTAGAAGCTCCTATAATATAAATAAGTCACAAAGACACTACCTAAAAAATAAGCAAAACTTGGCCCTTCATTCAGCAAGCAAAGTTTTATGGGCTAATTGGGAGGTGTACACAGGTCCCAGTGACAAATTTCTGGGTGGTATTCTGGGTAAGTTCTGTCTTTCTGGGTGGTATTTCTTCTCTTAGGTCACTAGTTTTATAAGCAATACCCAAAAACTTTAAGGGACATAATGTCAGTTTCATACTATTTTTAAATGTCTTTATTTGCTATACCACCACCTCAGAATTACAAGATTTTTGTACACTTTTTGAATATCTTTCTGCCCAGACATATAGACAGGTCAGTTTCACTTTCAGCTTCTAATACAATTGGGTCTGATCCTGCAAGGTGCTGAGAGTTCCCAACATCTACTACAGTCAATGCAGGATCCAGGCTTAGCTCAATGCTGGGATTATGAACGCTACAAGGCAGTGCTTATTTGTTTGAAAAATCTATTTTTCAATCTAGATTCCAGGAAGTCATGACAAAAGCTCTAAGAGCAATAGAGAAGTAAGTATTGTTTTACAAAAGTCACATCCGAATCCAAATTTGAGTGGAGACTATCCCTTTCCACAAAAAAGAAAGTATACACCTGTCATACTTTACAATGGTCATATAGTTGTTTTCCTTATTTATAAACTGTGCACACCAGAAAGCCCTGTAATTTCAGAACCATACTTCCATTTATAATTTTAAAATCCAATAAGGTAGAATATTTGAGTCAATATTAAAACTTTGGGGGGTGGGGGGTGTCTGTGTCTCCATACACTTCTCCTGACAACAGAAACTGGAAACCTGAAGTTTCCAGGCACACTAACCAAGTTCCCTCTAATTTTTGACAGGCCCCGTGTGCACAAAAAAATTCTTCTGTGCAAATTTTTGACAGGCCGTGTGCACAAAAAATTTATTCTGTGCAAATTATAGTGCTTCTGTGCAAATTTTTGTGCGCACGGTGTTTCGCTGTGTGCAGGGGGGGGTTAGGATCTGTATGCACGCGCACAGTTTAGAGGGAACAGTAATACTAACCCATACCTGTGGCCCAGTAACACACCCCTCACTAAGCCCTCACCCACCCCAGCACACTACCACAAAGCACATTAACCATCCCCAGCCTTGTAACACCCCCCACCTCGCCACAAATCAATGGGTCTTGAGCTAGGACTGCTGACTCAGTGGAAGCAACACCAGGGCTCTTCAGTACAGGCCTCTACAGTCACATAAGAAAACAAAAATTAGCCTTTTTTTGTGTATAGAAGATGGGAATTCAGATGAGGTCCTTATAGTTTGACGCCAGTATAGGCCTTAGAAGGGCTACTGTAAACAGATCACCCTTCCTGGGGAGTTCTTGGATGGTTGGGCTACAATCCATGAGTCTTTGAGCTAGGACTGCTGAGTCAGAGGAAGCAACACCAGGATTCTTCAGTCCAGGCCTCCCCTACACAAAAGGGGAGCCTCCCTGGAACTGCGCCTCCAATAACCACCAAGAAACAAAATCAATCTACCTAAGCAGCTGTATGCAAGAGCCAGGGAGGAATCCGTTCATTACTGCTGCCTCCTTCACTTCTCATAGCTCTGGGCCTTGTGGGGAGCAGAAAGCCTGCAACCATTGACAAAAGAGAATTTCGTACCTATTGCTGAATTCCCAGCTCAGCCTGGAATTTCATCCCACAAAGATCTAGGTTGACTATTCCCATTTCACTGCTCCCGGTTAAAGCAGAGATGTAACCAACAACTGTGGCCTTAAGAGATGCCATTCTCCATCACTCCCTCCCTCAAGAATTCAGAACTTGTGACTGCAGCTGCTTATCTGCCCCAGGCTGTAACTCAAAAGACATCGCTGGGCCACTTTCATCACTGAAGATAATGTCCATAAAATCCTAAAACTACCTTTTGACTGTAGAAAGGTTAGTGACAAGATCATCCTTTTATATGCCCCCTTGTTGCAATTTGAGGTTCCAGACACTACAGCATTTAAAACCAACAGGGCCACATTCATTACTCTCTCTCTCACCACATACATACATACACACACACACACCCCCTCCCAACTCCAGCAGCAACCCTCACCTTGGCACTCTAAACCCCTTCATCCATCACCTGTGTGCCCAGCACACTAACCCTTTCCCTCAGCAGCTGCCTCTCCACTCTGGCTCTATGCCCCAATCCCAACTAGGTCTTCCCTAGTTCACTAACCTCTGCCAGCACCTCTCATCAGCTACCTTCTGATCTGGCACACGAAGCCTCCCAGACACTGCCACATCACAACACTGTAATCCAGACAGCAACCCCATTCCTTCCCGGCACACACACACTCTGACATGTCCCCACCCTGTCCTGCAACACTGACACCCTCCCCACCCTAACAAACCAGCCTCCCTGGCCCAAAAACCCTCCCAACACCCTAACCTCACCTTCCGTCCTGGACACTAACCCCTCACCCACCCCAAGGCGGTAATCCCCTCGCACCACAACCATCCCTCCACAATCCCGGCTCGCCAACTACCCCCTCCCCAGCTCACTAACCACCAGCCCCCTGACTCAGCTCGCTGCCCACACCAGCCCCGGCTCGCTGCCACACACACACACACACACACACAGGCGCGCGCGCCCCCAACGCTCGCTGTTGCGGGCTCTCGAGGGCGCAGCCGGGTCCCAGGGACGGGGGCTGCCTCCGGGCACGGGGCCCTGGGCAGGATCAGGCCGGGTGGCCCCTGGCACTCACCGGGCTGCGGGCCGGGCCGCCTCCTGCAGCGGAAGCCCAGCGCGGGTGGGCGTCGGGGTGCTGGGGACGGGTCGCCGAGGCTCTGGGCGGCTGCAGGACCCTCCGAGCTGTGGCGCACGGCACGGCCACTGGCGAAGTCCCCTGGGCGGCGGCGGCAGAGGCCCGTAGGTCCCGTTCGGCGAGGGGCGGGGAGGGCTCACCCACGTGATGGGCCCGTGTCGTCCTGCGCAGCTGCCATCATCCGCTGGTCTGGCGGGCTCCGCACCCCCCCGGGGGGGGGACCCGGCAGCGCCCCGCCCGCGCCAGCGGGACCCCCACGGCCGCTCCTGGAGAGCCGCCCACGCCGCCGGCAGCCAGGCCTCGCACACACGGGAGCCCTGGACGAGGCGGAGACTGGAGAACGAGCGAGCTGGGGAGGGTGCCTGCGCCTTCATGTCTCTGTGAGCCTGAGAGAAATGTGACGTGTGAACACTAGAAGGACGCATATAAAACATATACAAAGTGTTATTTGATAGCATGGATTGCAGTGTAAACGTAACGAGCTGTAACTAAAGATAAACACAGCCCAGGCGCCACCCCGCCAAGTTCACTCAATACACTGCGAACGCACCTATCAACCACAAGGCGGCCAGACTAGAAGTTATAAAAGATGTAGGCCCGGGGCAGTCAGTGCACAGAACAGCACCAACGCATCACACTCCGCTGCCCCTGCCGTCAAAAAGGCCAGTTTGGCCTGACCCAGTAAAAAAATTGCCCAGGCTGAAAACAGGCCATGTGCGAGCGCTGTATCTCACTCCCAAAATTAACAGGGACCTGCAAAAACTGTTGAAAAGCTGCTGCAAAAAATCAAAAAGAGGAATCAAACAGGGACAATGGAAGGAAAAATGAAAGGCCATAGCGGAGGCTAAACAGCCTACACTCCTCAGGTGATGTGGCTCACAAAGTGATCGCTAAATAGCGCCAAGAAGCAAGACTCACCACTGCTCAAGTTACCCAAGTGCTTAGGGAGATGAGACTTGCAAACCATCCTCCAGGCCAGGGACACGGAATCACTCAGGGACAAATGTATCCTCCAGGAAGTGTCAGGGAGATCAGATTGGGAAGCATAATGCTGCATCTTGACTCAGAAACCATAGAGCTGCTTCTTGTTCTTAAGTAGGACCCTACCAACTTCATGGTCCATTTTGGTCAATTTCACAGCCAGGGGGTTTTAAATTAGTCAATTTCACCTTTTTAGATGTTTACATCTGAAATTTCACAGTAGAGTTGTAACCATGAGTGCGGGGGGGTCGCAAGGCTATTGTAGTGGGGTCATGGGATTGCCGCCCTTACTTCTGCCCTGCTGCTCGCAGAGGTTCCGCCTTCCGAGCTGTCCAGCTGGCTCTCTAAAGCCAGTGCAACAGCCAGCAGAAGTGAGGATCACATGATATGGGGGGGGTTACCATATGTCTGGTTTTCCCAGCAGCTTTGGAGACTGATAGCTGGAGCCGCAGCCTTTCCACTCAGGGGTGTGTATGTGTCAGCTCAAGCCACAGCCTCTCTGTGTGGGGTTTGTTTGTGTGTGTGTGTGGCTGTGTGTGACAGGTTGAACTGTAGCCTCTCCATGTGGGGAAGTGACAACTTGAGCTCTGCAGCCCAGGGAGGTTCCCGGAGGTGGGTCTGATCTGCCCTGGGAGCGGCCCCTGTAGGGGAAGAGGAAGTCTTGTCCCTCCACATCCCCTGCTCGGACTAGCAGCTGGAGTCTTGCACAGGGAAGGAGCCCTCACCTGGGCACCAGATTTCACAGGGGAGATCAGATTTCATGTTGCGAGAGGCATTTTTCATGGCCGTGAATTTGGAAGGGCCCTATTCATAAGTGGAAAAGAAGCATCTGTCAGACACTTTCAGGACAAGAGCCTGCCCAGCTGTAACCAAATCCTGGTCACAGAAGGAAAAATAGCTTGTGAAGGGAATGCAGGAGTGCCCTCTGCAAAAAATCTCTGCAGACACTGAGCAGATTATTGAGACTGTAAATCAGAGAGGCTTTTACCCAAAAAACACACAGATCAGACACCAATCTAAATAGTGATGGCTGCTGCCAACTCCAACTAAACCAACCAGGAGCAATCAAGCAGGTCAACCCAGCCTGGGTAAAAGCAGAAGAAGGTTCCTGGAGGAGATAGCCTTGGAGGGGAAAAGAGGGTTAAAAAATGTGTATTGTCCAAGAGCCATGGACTGTAAAATGCCTGGTTGGCTGAGCACTTTGCAGGAGTCACCAGGAGTTGAAAAGGCCATTGTAGAATGTAGGTAAATCGAGGGTAAGTAACCATGTCCAGCAGAACAAATGAGAGTCAAAGCCCATCTCCCCAGCATGACAGAGGGAAAAGAAAGCCACTGAACAGACCAAATGCAAAACATTGACAACCTACTGACCAGGTCAATGACCCCATCTCTCTCATCTACCAGCAAGAACAGCAAATCAGAGTGAAACCAGGTGTAACCGTTCCAAAAAATGGTTGATGTGCTTCTGAATCCAGTCCAGGAGTTCTGATCGAGGGTCCAGATACGGCAGTAGGTGCTACAACATTGAGGTCATGAAGTTGTTGGCAACCAAAGCCTATCCCCAAAAAGGAAGTCCAGTAAGGAGCCAGCACCATTTCTGCAAGAGGCCTTGTACCCGCCACAGCTGTCTCCCATATCTATATTGTTCAGATCAGAAATAAAAAAAACACTTTCATCCCAGAGGTGCCCCCATTATTGGAATTGTGAGGGCAGCAATTGGGAATCACTACCTATTGCCAAGATCCCAATAAGATCAAATTGTTCTTTGCCCAATTGATTCGAGCAAAGGAAGCCTGTTCGTATACTTGCAGACAGGTGCAAAGTGCCTGCACATAACCTTCAGACATGATAAAATCTGAGATGTCATCAATATAGGCTGACAGACAAACCAGGAAAGCATCCGGCTCCCTGGGCAAAGGCAGGCCAGTCAGTGGGCTTCTTATGAGGTGCAAGAATGGCTCCAGGCTCAGGGCAGATAACATCCCAGACAGAAGGAACCCCTGAAGAGCGCGTCTATGTACTGGTAAGCAGCAGTGAAGACCCCCCATTAATCTTTAGGTTTCAGAGTAGCAGCCGTGTTAGTCTCTATCCGCAAACAGAAAAGGAGTACTTGTGGCACCTTAGAGACTATCAAATGTATTTGAGCATAAGCTTTCGTGAGCTACAGCTCACTTCATCAGATGCATACTGTGGAAAATACAGTGGGGAGATTTATATACATAGAGAACATGAAACAATGGGTGTTACCATACACACTGTAAGGAGAGTGATCACATAAGGTGAGCTATTACCAGCAGAAGAGCGGGGGTGGGGGGGGGAACCTTTTGTAGTGATAATCAAGGTGGGCCATTTCCAGCAGTTGACAAGAACGTGTGAGGAACAGTGGGGAATGGGAGGGGGAAATAAACATGGGGAAATAGTTTTACTTTGTATAATGACCCATCCACTCCCAGTCTCTATTCAAGCCTAAGTTAATTGTATCCAGTTTGCAAATTAAGTCCAATTCCAAATCTTTAAAACACTAAAACATTACAATAAAAAAAAATGAAGTAATTGGCCCAATCCAAAATGTTTCCAATGTTTTAAAAAGATAGACACGGTCAAGTCTATCAAAAGCTCTCTCCTGGTCCACTGCAATAAATCCCACATCCAGATTTAAAAGTTTGTGAAAGTAAAAATATAGAATCACAGAAATGTAGGGCTGGAAGAGGCCTCAAGAAGTCATCAAGTCCAGCCCCCTGTCTTGAGGCAGGAACAAGTAAATCTAAACCATCTCTGACATTCCCAAACTCCAATTATGGGAATTCCACAGCCTTCCTTGTTAGCCTGTCCCAGAGCTTAACTACCCTTACAGTTAGAAAGTTTTTCCTAATCGCTAACCTAAATCTCCCTTGCTGTAGATTAAGCCCATTACTTTTTGTCTCACCTTCAGTGGAGATGGAGAACAAATAATCATTGTCCATGTTTTAACAGCTCTTACTTAGCATATGTGAAGCCTATTATCTTCTTTTCTCAAGACTAAATATGCCCAATTTTTTTAACCTTTTCTCAAAGGGGTCATGTTTTCTAAACCTTTTATCATTTTTGTTGCTGTCCTCTGGACTCTGTCCAATTTGTCCACATCTTTCCTAAAGTGTGGTATTCAAAATTGGACACAGTACATCAGGAATTAAAAACAAGTGATCAAAAATACAGAGGTTAGGGACAAAATATGTTTGAACAAGGTGTATCAAACAGTCCAGATAGTTTTACAGATGATTTTCAAAGGCTGTGATTCGGCTCTTATAATCAGAATAGTGAAAGAGAAATAGGTCTCCAGTTCAGTAAGTCACAAAGGACCCCTTGGGCTGCAGGGTGATTACTGCCCTGCAGCAGATGAGGGGTGTGATGCCTCCCCCCGCCAGGCTGCCACCTGGAACTGAGCCCTCTGTGTCACCAATCTGGGTTCCCTCTTGCACTATGATGCTGTGACAAGCTGCAAAGTCCTCCAGGCTTGCACTCACACCAACATCCAAAAGCAGGGACCACCCCATCTGTGTTCATGAATGCTCTGGCCAGCCACTCATGAACCCATAATAGAGAGGCGGCAGCCAAAATATGCCCCCAGCTCCCCAGCCTAGGACCCCAGAGCTGTACCATCCTGCCCTGGTCAAAAACCTGACCAGTATGAATTTATTACGCAGTCCACCACTTCTACAAAGGAAAGTGGACGTGCACCAACTCTTGTTCCTGAGCTGAGATTTTTTCCCTTTGTACTTCAAACAATACACAGTGTTTTAGGTAAAATATAAAAAAGGTTTATTATCTACAGAAAGATAGATTTTAAAATATCATAAGTGAGAGCAAACAAATCAAAGCAGATTACTTAGCCAAGTAACAAAAATGCAAACTAAGCCTAAAATACTAGTTAGATAGGGTCTGAATTAGCAATATCCCACCCTGGCTGATGATACAAGCAGTCCACCGAGTTTCCGTACACAGGCTAGAAATTCCTTTAGCCTGGGACCAGCACTTCCCCCAGTTCAGTCTTTGTTCCTCGGGTGTTTTTAGTTGTCCTCTAGTGTGGGGAGTGAGGTCCAGTCATGATGTCACTTCCCCCTTTTATATCTTCTTCCAACTTGCTGGAAAGCTCTTTTGCTGTGACCTGTGTCAAACAGTTCTCATTGTGCAGTGCTATCTTGAAGAAGTTTCTATTGTACACAGTTCCTGGGGTAAACCTTGTGCTTCTGTGTATTTCTTCAATAAGCCATTAACATTGTTTGGCCTTTTTACTGAAAGGCTGCTTGTGGGTGTTCTTAACCTCACAACATGTTTCAGGAGTATATACATAGCCACACTTCATAACTTTACATACTATAGCACATACAATCCAACGAGATATTAATGTCTAGCA